ATAGGGGAAGAGAGTAAAGAAGAAATAAAGCTTGAATAAACAGAAGAAGACCAAGAAGAATCCCAGCAAGGACGTCCCCTCCCCAACAACGGATGCTGGGCCTGTAATCTCCCTAAGCCTATACTTTCCCTCTTGCGTCATCTCGTAAGAGCCATAATTCAGGCTGCAATCTCCGTCGCATTGTTCGGATGAGGATGTCTTTCGTCACCCTCGATTGCCAAAGGGGGGTGGGGTGAAGGGGTGAATGAAGAAAAAGGAGAAGGAAAAGGGAATGAGGAGTCGAAGAAGAACAGGGAAAAAGGGAGGAGGAAGAATAGAAAACTTTGACAAGGGAAAGTATAGTAATTATAAAAAAAGGGAAAAAAGGGGGGAGAAAGGGTGACTAAAGGAAAAGGAAAAAGAAAAAGAAATGTTATGTAACTGGAAAAGATGTCTTTCGTCACCTCGATTGCCAAAAGGGGTGCGGGTGATTTGTGGGTGAAATGGTTGTTCTTGATTTTAGGAAAGAGAGGTGTGTGTTGTGTGTTTTGGGGGAATTTGATTTTTTTGGACGTGCCCTTTTGTTGTTATTATTGTTGTTGTTGTTGTTAGCCTTATTACTACTGTTTTGTTATTATTACTATTATTATCATTATTATTATTATTATTATTATTATTATTATTATTATGATTATTATCATTATTATTATTATTATTGTTGTTGTTGTTGTTGTTGTTGTTATCATTATTATTATTATTATTATTTTATCTATCATTATTATTATTATTATTATTGTTATTATTATTATTATCATTATTATTATTATTATGATCATCATCATTGTTATTGTTGTTCTTGTTATTGTTATTATTATTACTATTATCATTGTTGCTGTTGTTGTTTTGCTATGATATTTGATATAGGTACGGTCCTTTTATTGGTGAAAAATAAATAAAATGAGATGTCGGTGGATAAGACTGCAAATGAAATAACAATAATCAAATAAAATAATAACAATAGCAAGGGCAGTAAATTAATGAGTCAAGAAAACAATAACATTAAACAAACAAAACAGCAATATCGGAAGCAGCAATAAAACAGCAAAGAAAGTAAGACATACAAACAAAATAATAAAATAACGAAAGCAGCCAAAGAAAAACAACAAATAAAACGTCTTATCGGCTATCAATCCAAATAGAAAATTGAAAAACAAACAATAAAAAAACACAAAAATGGAGAAAGCGAAAAAAATAACACCTGCACAAAACAGCCAACCTAATTATAGACCTATACCATTAACTACCCAGCTACCGTACAGATCTTCTGCCATGATACCCATACATACCCTGAAGGCTCTCCCCCCCCTCTCCCCCTTATCCTCCCCTACCCCCACCCACACCCCCACCTACCCACCCACCCACACCCACACACACACACACCTGTTGCCTCCCCTATTTAGACTCCTTCAGTTTCCTTAACATCTAATAGGCATTCGGGCGTGAGGGCGTATCGAGACAGGTCATTCCGGGACTGAGCGAGCGAGCGAGCGAGCGAGCGAGCGAGACGGGTCACGTCAGGTCACGAGTGTCTGACTTCTACGGGTTTCCCTGCTGATCCTTATTTATAGGTCAGGTAATAACCCACTTTTGGAAAGGTTTCGGCCAACAAGGAGGACTAATGATGCCTTAATTGGGCGGAGGAATGAGGAGGAAGGAAATACGGCGCGCGCTTTGAAGGTCCTCTGTCCCCGCCTCGTGTGCTCTGCGGTTATTGTTATTATTGTTATTGCCATTGTGATAATGGGGATTATTGTTGATATTGTCGCTCTTGTTATTCAGTTTATAATTATTATTATTATTATTATTATTATTATTATTATTATCATTATTATTATTGTTATTATTGTTATTATTATCATTATCATTATCATTATCATTATCATTATCATTATCATTATCATTATCATTATCATTATCATTATCATTATCATTATCATTATCATTACCATTATTATTATCATTATCATTATCCTTATTAGTATTGCTATTGTGTTTTATCATTATATTCATTATTATCATTATTATTAGCAGTACAATACAAACATCAACATGTGCCTATAATGATTGTCGTTACCACTATCGTTATTATTACCATTATCAAAATAATTCACAATTATCATTATCTCTTAAAATTACCCTCCATAACACTTACCATTGTCCTCATCAGCATTATGATAATTAACTTGATAATAATGATAACACCTGCAGCTGACGGCCTTCGGTGAACCAGGAGAGGAATGTGTGTGTCAGAGAGAGAGAGAGGGAAAGGGAGAGGGAGAGGAGAGGAGAGGAGAGGAGAGGAGAGGGGGAGGGAGATGGAGAAGGAGAGGGAGAGGGAGATGGAGAGGGGGGAGAGGGAGATGGAGAGGGGGAGAGAGAGGGGGGGGGGAGGGAGAGGGAGATGAAGAAGGAGAGGGAGAGGGAGAGGGAGGGAGAGAGAGAGAGAGAGAGAGAGAGAGAGAGAGAGAGAGAGAGAGAGAGAGAGAGAGAGAGAGAGAGAGAGAGAGAGAGGGGGGGGGAGGGGGAGGGAGAGGGAGATGAAGAAGGAGAGGGAGAGGGAGAGGGAGAGGGAGGGAGAGAGAGAGAGAGAGAGAGAGAGAGAGAGAGAGAGAGAGAGAGAGAGAGAGAGAGAGAGAGAGAGAGAGAGAGAGAGGGGGGGGGGGGGAGAGAGGGAGAGGGAGATGAAGAAGGAGAGGGAGAGGGAAAGGGAGGGAGAAGAGAGAGAGAGAGAGAGAGAGAGAGAGAGAGAGAGAGAGAGAGAGAGAGAGAGAGAGAAGAGAGAGAGAGAGAGAGAGAGAGAGAGAGAGAGAGAGAGAGTAAAGAGAGAGAGTAAAAAGGAATTAAAAAAGAAAAAAAATAGAGAGAACGGGAAACTGAAGATTGCGAGAGGAAATTTTTAAAAAGAAGATTCAGGGTCTAGACACACACGATTCTTAGTCATTTCCGAATTAAATTTGGCGATTGTT